TGGTAGTTACTGCTTGAGAAATACCCCTGTTGAGAGGGCCACAGAAGAAATACTCCTATAGAGGAAGCAGAGCCACACAAAGCCAACGCCAACCGCGAGCAGTTTGCTTTCCTGTGTTAACCACTACCCCAAATAATTCAAATTCTTAGGGGCAAAGAAGCTGACAGGAGCGAGAAGCTTCTCCACAGTCACATAACAAACCAGAGGCAGACGGACGAGCAAAGAGGGTAACTAAATAAATACACAACGTCACCATTTAACTGGCTTTTTGCCCGTTAGTGAAAAGATACCCTAAAAGTACCTGAAATAACACACGGCTTCACACATGCAAAAGTAACTCCACAGAGAGGGAGCTGGTGAACACAGAGATTCCCAGAGCAATAAGCAGCGTGCGTGTCTTCACAACAATAATTACGCGTACTTTTTTAAAAAAATAAAAAGCATAGGGCATGTTAGGTAAGGAGCCGAGGGAAGAAATACCCTGGAATTTCTGGAAATATAGAAAGAGAATTTTGAGGTAGTAAAACAAACCCAGATGGAGGAAATGGAAAAAAAAATATATATATATATATGTTGCTTGCTCAGTGGTTACATAAGAGCTGCTGGTGGAGCTCTATAAATAGGACACCTCAGAGGTGTCAGATGGGAAGAAAACTCTACTCAAACGGGATTTGCCTTCCGTTAGATTTACGGCAGGGCCATGAGGATCAGGCCCTAAACGCTCGTGCTGAGCGGGGTTGGTTCTCCCTCTGGGGGTGTCAGCAGGCAGAGCTTCCCATTCGGGTCTAACCTTTAGCACGTGTGTACAATGGCAAAAGAAGTAAAATAAAAATGAGCAGGATTGCTGGGATTGCGTCAGGGGGATGTGCTGCCATGTGTGCAAATGATTAAAATTTGGGAACAGGGAGAGGCAGCTGGCCCTTGAATTACAAAAAACAGCCCTATCAAAAAAGGAAGGAAATTCACCCAGAAGCTGAAATTAAGGAGCTATTCAGCAACTCTGCAGGTCTCACATGAGGCAGGAGGGCATCCTTGCTGTTCCCATGCGCACAGCAGGTTTCCCAGGGATGCAAACACAACCTCTGCTTCAGAGCCTGCTCCTGCTTGCATCCCGGAGGAGAGAACCCTTGTGCTAATCCTGGAGGCAACCGTCCATCCACGGAGAACATCCCAGCCTCCTCCCTGTAACATCCTAGAGGTTTTGGGATAGGATGATCCACCCATCCTCAGAGCGCAAGATCCACCCTCCCGGGGCTGTAGGATGAGGCTGATTTCCCATCTCAAAGGCCTCTAATCTCCAAGCTCCTTTTTATCCCGAGATTGTTGGGATGGAGGTAACTCCCCCACATCTCAGCACTAGGGACTGCGCCAGATCCCTTAGGATGGGGCTGACCCCCATGCCAGGACCCAGGGATACCCCAGTATCCTGGTGCCATTTGGGTGGGAAGATCCCCATCCCATGGCACTGGGATAAGGGTGTCCCCCCCCAACCCAACAGGATCGTGGGGTACCCCAGCCCCCCCTCCCCATCCCAGAGCCATTGTGATGGGGCAATTCCCATCCTGGGACTACGGGATCCCCAAGGGCCTCAGCATAGGGGTGACCCCTCCACCAAGAGCTGTGGGACACCCCAAAGCTGTTGTGACAGGGGAGATTCCTGCTTTGGGGCCGGAGAGATACCCCAAAGCGCTGGGATGGGGGTATCCCGGCTCCCTCAGCACCCCAGGAGCTAGTGCAGGGGGAATGTCCCCCCACAAGAACACGGGGCACCGCAGGCCTGGGGACAGCGTGACATTCACCAGGGCTGCGGCCCCCCGCACTAACGTTGCAATAGAGTGACCCCCATCCCGGAGCATTCGGGTACCCGCGACCATCGGGATGGGGCTGAGCGGGGAGATGGAGGCGCCCGACCCCCTCCTCCCGTTATCCCGGTGCCGCGGGG